ACTAGAAATGTTTAAAATTATAAGAACATGTTTTGTCCAAAGTACGAGATTTTCCTGATACTCTTGAAAGTATAACACAATTACAGAGTTTATTAGGTATTCTAAATTATGGACAAAATTTTATCAAAATCTTTCAAAAATAGAAATTCATTGGTTAACCAAATGAAGAAAAAATGTTATTTTTGAATGGACAGTAGAAGATGTTGCTTTAATTAAACAAGTTAAAGAAAATGTTAAAATTTTACCAGATGTTTATCTTCCTAAAACAGGTGATAAATTAATTTTAGAAACAGATGTCTCAAAAGCATGCTGGGGATGTGTTCTTATAGCAATAACAAGTAAATTATGGCATGATAAAGAGATACCTTTATCAAAAAAATGAGATTAGACTAAAAAAAAATCAATACTCATAAAATTACAAAAAGAATAATTAATTTGCAGATATAATCCTGGAATATTTAAGCCAAATGAACAGAAATATATTATTTTTGAAAAATAATTACTTGCAATAAAATTGGCAATAAAAAGTTTTCACATTTATTTAGTCTTAGAAAATTTTATTGTACGCACTGATAATAAGACAGTAAGAGATTTCTTGACCAATAAAAAAACCTATTGAGCAAAGAAGAAGATTAGCCTGATATAATAAAATTTCTAAATATACTTTTGAGGTAGAACACCTTAAAGGTATTAACAATTTTCTTGCAGATTTTCTTAGTAGGAATTGTTTCAGAAAATTAAATTACTAAACAAGTAATTTTAATTTTTGCAAAACACCTTTAGATCAAAAGGAAAAAATGGACAAAGGTAAACAACCCGCTCAAGGAGATTGGGTGACAACTACTAAAAAAGCAATCCCCAGACAAGAAAAAGTTTATGTTGTGTTTGCAGGAAGACAACCTGGAATTTACATAGAATGGAATGAGTGCAATAAGCAAGCTTGTGGATTTCCAAGAGCAAGTTTTAAATCCTATAATAGCATAACCAAAGCTAAAAAAAATTTTTACAATGCACCAACTATACCTGTTTATCAAAATAATTTTTGTCAAATGAGAACTAACCCAGTTCCACCTAATATTCAGACATCTAAACTAGATGAATCTGAAATAAAAGATTTTTTCAACCCCGGTATATCCATAGAAATTTATACAAAACTCAATGGAGTTTGGAAAACTCACATTATAGATAACAAAGTGAGATTTCGAAAACACATGGGAGTTCTGGCCAACAAATTAGCTGAGCAAACAGCTAAGTTAAAAGATTTACAAAACCTTTGTTTCAATATCCTTAAACAAATGAGTTGGAATGAAGATTTTAATTTTGAAAAAATAAACAATTTTCTTCAACTATCAAACCTCACATCAGATGAGTTTTCTAATTCAGTTTTTGAACAAATAAAAAGAATTTGTCTTTTTAAAAAAGTAAGAACTTTGCTTCCAAAAGAAATTTTCTTGTTAATCAAAAATCGAGTTGAGGATTATCGTGATAAGATTAGACAAATCTTAGAACGATCCTATTATAAACTAAATTTTAAAGATGGAATTCTCAAAATAACCATCATAGCAAATCATGACATGTGATATTTTGAAGATATAAATTGGAGAATAACTAATCAAGTTATTTTCCAAATTTTAGATCCAATCCAACGAATAGAATATCCGATGATCATAAAAGCAATGCTCTCATGGGTGGTAAAAGACTTCCGATGGAGTAAATATTTTACTTTTTGGATCTCTAACACAATTGGTTGGCGAGAACGAGAACATTTTTTCCAACCATACCAAATTTGATATCTCAAAGAAACTAAAGATTTTGAATTTAAAGATGATTATTTGGATGAAGATCGCAGGAGGGAGCAATTAGAAACTATTCAAAAACTTCATTTGACAGAATATTGGATAGACAGTCTAATAACTGTTTCACAGGGAGCTTCTAATATCCATGGCTCAGCAAAATTGTCATTCATCGTCACAAATGGTAAAATACTATTTGTAACTCATTTTCCCATAACATATCAAAGGTCTCCTATACAAATTAATGAGACTCTTGACATGTTATTAAATCTCAAAAAGAGAAATAATTTGGATTTTTCGTTAGAACTAGCAATGATCGCAGATGATGTAGAACAATTTCAGAATGAGCGATACAGCCAGGATCCTGATTCCCTTCCATCAGAGACTGATGAAGAGAATCGCAATCCCGTCAACATGATGGAAGCATAGTGGACCCAACTGTCATATGCAATTGTCTCATGATCGACTCCAACCTTATCCAGGACACGTTGAGCAACTTGCATTATCAAGCGAAAAATGGTCAGACAAATCCTTTCAGCCAACGCTACAAGACAAAAAAGATCAGCAAATCTTATCTGTTTCAGTCTATCCCTTAGAAAACCAAGAAGGGTAGACAATCATATATATTTGTATATAATTGGAGTTTGTCAGAACCTCCATAAATATATGCCTTGGTGTCATGTATAATTGTCAAGCCTAAGTCTAGGCTAGTAAACTTTTTAAGTATAGACTTTTGAAAAAACTTTGCAAATTTGGACATATGTATTTGATAGACTAACCAATTAGGTATGTATTAAATTTAGATTAGACTTTTTAGTTTTGTTTGTTTATGGAGTTGTATTCTATAAATTGATTTTCAAGCCAACATAATACAACAATGTAAATTCTCTCTATTTTCGTTGCCTAAACTTGTCATTTCCTTGTTCTGTTTTTGTTGCTTAATAGTAAAATAGAAATAGTAGAAAGTTCCTTGATTGTAACATAGTGTGCACTTGTAGTGTGACCGGTTAAGTAATGCCTTTCGCAAAGTGATTCACCTAAATTTATTCAACATGAGTAAATTCAAAAAGTTTAATATAATCATTTTGTTTAGTACATAGATGAAATAATCTAAGAGTCATGTTACAAATTCAGAAATTTATGTCCAGAATTTTGAACATGTGATTAAGATTTATTTTATATATGAACCTTATTATATACTCATTCAGTCTCTAACATTCATTTACATTTCGAATAAATTTTGATCTCTATTTTTTGGATTCCCAAACTAATCTATAAACTAATCACATATTCTTATACAATTAAAAAGGCACGACACGTAAGATATCATCACGTCAGTTATAGATTGAACTTAGGTTTACTTTCTAAGACTTAAAAAAATAAATAAATTTATCAACTTTGGGCTGTTCTCTACACTAAATAGTTAAGTATATTAAAAATGGGCTACAAAATCTTCAGCCCAAATGTCTTCGACCTTAATTTGATCCTATTACCCAAATTTCATTGTTTGGCCTATAGCCTCCTATCTGTCTACTAAAATCCAACGGCTCAAAGGCTCAAATTTATTGGCCCTATTTAGGAAGTAAGTTTTGTATCCGCCTCATCTGCAGTACTATTTCTATCTATTGTCCTGCACTCTTTTATTGGTCATTTGGTCAGTCATTCAACAATAAAGTGGCAGTCGTAGTTGACAATAGTGACAATTACGGTAAATAAGGTGCTAGTCACGATTAACAAGGGTAACAACTGCAGTAGATAAGTGCTACACCGATCGTCTGAATGATCATCCGACATGCACAAAACGTGACCTCTCCCTCGCCTTTAGATCCCTAATTGTCATGTGTCTTCATCTGTTAGAAAGTGCAAGACATGACTGAACAGGACATAGCTAGAGAAGAGGTGGTCCCGAAGGTTTTGGACTAAAATAACTAATAAAGATCAAAAATATTAAAATAATTAATAATATAAAATATCATATTTAAATCATAATTATTTCACTATTTTTTTTCACAACCATCAAATCAGTTATAAAAAAAAGTCAACTATATTTCCAAACATAGGTTGGATTTGGTAGAGTTTTAGAATTATAATTTGATAATAGAGTTATATTTTGAGTTTGTGAATTTTGGAATTATGATTTGAAAAGAGAAAATTTATTTGGTTGTGAGTTTTGAATTTTTGATATGACATATAAAATGAGAAAAATTGTTTGGTTATGAGTTTTGAAAAAAGTTTTCAAAATTTAATTGAAAAACTTATAACTTATAACTAAATACATAACATAAAACTTTATTGAAAATTCTATTCAAAACTCATAACTAAACTTTTTTTAAAATTCAATTCAAAAAAATAATTTGTCATTTTAGTCTAAGAAAATAATTTCTATATTTAAAAAATATAAAAAACAAATACAATTTTTTTTTTTTCCAAATAACAAGTGACGATTGGGTAGATCAAAAATTTAAAAACTGTCTGATTTATCAAACATATTTTAAAGATATGTTTTGAAATTGACTTGAAATCATGACTTAAAAACTTAGGGAAAATTGGCCTAAGGTCCCTCCTCTACTTTTGATATGAGGGGGTATTTTGGTCCACAAAATAATTAAAAACGCGCGCCAAGTTGTTTCAGGGACGTGAGGCATCACTATCTTTTTGTGTGTCCTTTAGCCTCTAAATTGTTATTATTAGGGATCTTAAAAAAAAATCCCCAAAAACTTAAACCAAACATATAGTATTAGAATATAAGAGTGAAATTAGTTTTAGAAAGTTAAAATAATCAAAAAAAAATTAAAAAGCTAATTAAAATAGTCAACTTTTCAAACGAACTCATTATTTCAAAGGATATGGCTTATTTTCAATCCTCCATCGAACTAAAGAGAACGTATTGGGGCCGTTTTAATGATTTAAACCATTTACATTCTAGAATTCATCGAGTACATTATTTTTATAAAAAAATTAAGTCGATCGGATAATAATAATTATGTGTTTGGATCAATTTTATATAAAAAAATAAACAGTATAAAAATAAATAATAAATACAAAATTAATTCAAACGTACAATTTTTATTATCTAATCAATTTAATTTTTTATAAAAATAATACGCTCAATAAAATTTAAAATACAAATAATTTAAATTATTAAAACAAGATGTAAACATAACCTATTGAACGGGACTGACTGAAACAATCTAATCCCTATTTCAAATCAATCACTGCCAGTGCCAACCGCCAGCGATATCATAGCTTGCCCAAAAAAGGCAAACTCGAAATAGGCCTAAAACAAAGTCCGCGTCTCTCTCTCCGCGTCTCTCTCTCTAAACTCTATTTTCCTGTTCAAATTTCAAAACCGCAGATCTCCGAGACATCTCACAGAGGAAGGGAGAGAGAGAGAGAGATCCGATCCAACCATGGCGGTGGCAGCATCGGCACGCGAGGAGAACGTGTACATGGCGAAGCTGGCCGAGCAGGCCGAGCGGTACGAAGAGATGGTGGAGTTCATGGAGAAGGTCTCGGCGGCGGCGGAGTCGGAGGAGCTCACCGTGGAGGAGCGCAACCTCCTCTCCGTTGCCTACAAGAACGTCATCGGCGCTCGTAGGGCTTCCTGGCGAATCATCTCCTCGATCGAGCAGAAAGAGGAGAGCCGCGGCAACGAGGACCACGTCTCCACTATCAGGGATTACAGATCTAAGATCGAGTCGGAGCTCTCGTCGATCTGCGACGGCATTCTCAAGCTCCTCGACTCCAGGCTCATCCCTGCGGCTTCCTCTGGAGACTCCAAAGTGTTTTACCTGAAAATGAAGGGCGATTACCACCGCTACCTCGCTGAGTTCAAGACCGGTGCCGAGCGCAAGGAAGCCGCCGAAAGCACCCTCACTGCCTACAAAGCGGCTCAGGTTTCTTTCTCACTCTCTATCTTTATCTATCTACATGTGTTTATGTCTTTAAGTATTTCATATTATGCAAAATTGCAAGACATTTTGGGAAATTTTTGGTCTAAATTTGGTGTTCACTTTTAAATGTCGTAGTAGATTTGTCTATTTTGGTTGTTGTTGTTGTTTTTTTATTTTTTTTGTAAGCTATAATTGGAATGCAAATTAGTCAGGGTTAGGGTTTCGATTGATCCCTTACAATGACTTGTATCTTTGCGCCCATTGATGTTTCCCAAAGAAAATAATGTTATATCCACATTGAACTGAAAGTGTATCCAGGCAATTTGCTTTTTTAATTTGCTGAGAAAAATGCTTAAGTTAAAAAGGAAATATTTTTCCGCAAATCATGAGCATACGTGATAGTTCTCCTAATTATCTGATTGATTAACCATTGATGTAAGTTGAGGCCCAGGCTTTGGAAGAGTTGTACATGTTCCTGAGGCAACATTTAGGACAAATTGAAGATCTTTGTTGAATTTCGTAGGAGAAGATTGTAAAGGTTTCATAGATTATTTGTGGTTTTCATCAATGATTTGGTTCAGCACTCTCTTTTTTGGAAAACTCCCTTCAATTACTTTTTACTGGGGGCAAAGTATTGTCGGGGAATACATTGTTCAATTGTGCCTCTCACTTTAGAGAGAATTTGTTACTTTTCTCAGCTTAAAGCTAATATTGATCAAGATGAGAAGCCTGATGAAATAATAAAAAGGGGAACTTTATGCAATTAGTATTTTACATTGAGCGTCAGGGCTTATTCTCAAAGTCCTTCCAGGAAGTGTATTTCTTGTTGAAACAAGTGAAGCAATAGAAATTCAACGTTCCTGTCCAAATTTCATGAGTGATTACTTTCTGTTTTTATCATTTTTAGCATTATTTTTCATTTTTCCAGCATCTTTTATTAAGTTTTGGTTCAAAATGAGTAGTCATAATCATTTGTGAATTGACTTTTGTGTCGAATTGGAAAAATGGCAAAGATTAAAATAAAAAATCTGGAGTCATCTAGCATTAGTAGGGAAATTTGCTTTGACCCACAATAGAGTATGGGATCATGTTGGTCTTTTCTTTTTGTGGTAAGTGGTTTGTTGGTTGCTACTTTGATTCATGGTTCTCTCTCTCTCTCTCTCGCTCTCTTAACGTTTTATTGTGTCATTTTGTTTCCAGGATATTGCCAATTCAGAACTTGCTCCAACACACCCAATCCGGCTTGGACTTGCTCTCAACTTTTCTGTATTTTACTATGAGATTTTGAACTCTCCTGACCGTGCTTGCAATCTTGCCAAACAGGTGAGCTTTTCTGAATTTGACACTCTTGTTTTTCTCTGATTTCTGAGAGAGGTGGCATATTGATGGAAGATGATGTTGAACTTTGAGGAGAATTTTTTTAAGTTTTAATTATTGTTCTACTGTATATCAAACATAAAACGATCTCCCAAATTGATGCACACCTGTTTGATCTGGACATTGCATAAATCTACTCACCTATCACACAAAGACAAGTATCCTTATTTGTTATTTCATTTTACTATTTGGCTCAGATTTGTTTCTTTTTTTCCTGCCTTGACCAGGCTTTTGATGAAGCAATTGCTGAGTTGGATACATTGGGAGAGGAATCTTACAAGGATAGCACATTGATTATGCAACTTCTTCGGGACAATCTCACTCTATGGACCTCAGACATGCAGGTATTTCTTTGCTTTCATGCAACATCCTGTTGGTTGGGGTTGTTTTTATAATGTTTTGAATCATCATTTGCATGATGAGCTCTTATTTTCGCAAGTGGAATACTTTGTTTCGCTACTCAGCTGCCCTGGTGATGTGAAAAAGAATCGGTTACATCTTTCATGAAGCATATTCCAGTTTTATGTAATTTTATTTTTAACAATTTCTGGTTTTTGATGCAGGATGACGGGGCTGATGAGATTAAGGAAGCTCCCAAGCACGATGATGAAAAGCAGTGAGGGACATGCACCCTTGAATTAGGGTCTCACTTCTCCCTGGTTGTTTTTGTTAGGAGAAGGTGCTTGTTTCTAATTTCCTGGCATTCTGAGTTTTTAGGCGTTCTTGCTTTCAATACCAAAACTTGAAAATGATGAATATTGATGTTCTTGTGCTTGTAGTTTTAATTGTATGTGGAATGGTTTATTCTCTTAAAGAGATTGAAGCTTTGTCTTTGCATTGGGTAAATATGAAATTCTTTTTTTTTAATAGATGGTTCAACTATTTTGCCTTCCATGATGTCTTGGGGAAAAAAAACCAATGCATCAGACCTCATTGCCCATTTAACTAGCATCAGACATCTCCTTCTGGTTTTTAGCCCCCTTTTTTGTTTGGAAAGAAGGCTTTTAAGGTTCTTCCATATGATTCTTCTATCTCTTTCATCTCCTTTTTATTGTCTTTAGACCTATGTCACCAGAAACGTTAATACCTTACTGAATTACGTACTAATATGTATGTTCTGAAATCTGATATATTTTCATTTTAAAATAGTAAATTTTGTGATCTGAAACGATTTTAAAAGTTTTTCTCAATATATTTTCTTAAATGTTACTTTAAGAGAATAAAAAAATTTAAATATATGAATTAGAATCTAAGATGAGTTTAAGTTTTGACAAGACAAAAAATAAAGGGTAAATTATAAAAATAGTCCCTATAGTTTACCTATGTTTTTATTTTGGTCCCTACATTTCTAATTGTTTCAATTTTGTTCCTACAGTTTGGTTTTTGGCTCCAAATAGTCCAATAGTTAACGGCGGTTAGCTTTTTGGACGAAAAATCAACGCGTGTCTTGCACGCCCGGGCCAATTTTGACTTTTTTGTGCAATTTTGACTTTCTTGAGTGTTTTTTGATCAATTTAATTTGTTTAATAGATGTTTTATTTATTTTTATTATTTAATTATTATTATTTTTTAAAATAAATTTAATTAAAAAATAACATATATTTTTTTTGATATTTTATTTATTTTTTTAAAAAAATATATTTATTTAATTGTGTAAAAAATAAAATAAAATAAATTTTTATTTAATCTAGTTAAAAATAATTAAACCCACTGTTTGAAGCATTATGTCGTTGACATGGCACAATTTGGTTGAGTTTTTAATTATTATTTTTAAATATTAAAAATTATTTCCTACCTAAAAATAAAGGCCTTGCTTGGTTTGTTTTTCAGAAAAAATTTTGAGAAAAATTTTCTATAAGCAAATTTTCAAGAGTAATCAAACCAAACAAATTTTTTTAAAAAAAATCTCAAAATTTTGTTTGGTTACCTACTTTTCAAAATCACACTCTCATACACATCAAATCAATCACTTTTTTTAAACTCTCTCCCCAAAACAATTTTCTAAAATCATTTCTGAAAAAAAACAAACCAAACAAATTTTCGTCATTTTTATCTCAAAAACTACTCTATAAACACAAACCAAACACACTGAAAAAATCAGATGAAAATAATATATATTTTTATTTTTTTACCAAAGTAATTTTTAAAATTTTAATATTCTTCAAAACATAATTTTTAAAATTCAACCAAATAAAGGTGTAATGAAGTAACCTGTCTATTTGTTAAAATGTAGTTTTTATTGGAATTTTACCTTAAACATAATTTATTGACTCAAAATCAACTTATAAAAATATAGATTCAGGTGTTCTTTTATCTTTGAATGTGTATCCGCATGTGGAACTTTTATAAAAACTCATTTATTAATTATGCAAAGAAGGAAGAATTATTGTAATTAATGTGGGTAGTCCATGTTGAATTATTTCGGGCCGTTACAGGTATCCCATGGGACTAATGTGTGAAATGTCCATTTTACCCTCATTCTATTACTTAGTAAACAAATGAAAAACGATAAAATAGTCTTTTTAACATTTATAAATTATTTTTTTAGTGTTGTTAATTTAAAATTATATATTAAATAAAAAATATAAATTATAAATTATAAATAAAAAATTATGGCCTTATAAATTAAATTTTTAAAAAAATTAAATTTATATATTAAATAAAATTATTTTTTTGTCTTGTTAATTTAAAATTATATATTAAATAAAAAATATAAATTATACATTATAAATTTAATTTAATTAAAAATAATAAATTATAAATTATGGTTAGATTAAATAAAATTTTATTTTATTTTATTTTTACACAATTAAATAAATATATTTTTAAAAATTAAATAAATAAAATATCAATAAAAATATATGTTATTTTTTTGATTAAGTATTTAAATAAATTTATTTAAAAAAATAATAATAATTAAATAATAAAATTAAATAAAACATCTATTAAACAAATTAAATTGACCCAAAAACACTCAAGAAAGTCAAAATTATTTAAGAAAGTCAAAATTGGCCCATGCGTGCCTTGCACGCGTCGACTTTCCTTCCAAAAAGCTAATGGCAGTTAACTATTAGACCATTTCAAGTCAAAAACCAAACTGCAGGGACAAAATTAAAAAAAATTAGAAGTGCAAGGACCAAAATGAAAACACGGATAAACTATAGGGACTATTTCTATAATTTGCCTAAAAAAAAATGAGTCATAATTTTTACAGAAATGATTTGCTACATTAACAAAAAAATAAATTATTAAATGCCTAATAATTAAAAAAAAATTACTCTACAAATATATTAAATTTATAAGTGTAACATATAAATTTATTTCCATCGTATCACATTTTAAAACCTAGAACGTATCACATTTTCATTTCCGCTTTCATTTTATATACCAAAACGATTCCGTCCTAGGTAACATAACTTTAGACCCTCTATGTTTTCAACCTCCCACTTTTAATAAGCACCTCTTCTTGTGTGATGGATCTTGATTGCTTGTTTCCAGTAATTTGTTTGTTTGTTTGTTTTTCAAATTCTTTAAAGCTAATCAACACAAAAATACCCAGATCTCTTTATATTGAGGCAATTGCATAACTTGACCATTTACTCACCACCATGCACAAGAAGTTTTGCGTTAATATATGTTTAATAATTCATGATGATATAGTTTGTTCGAGTGAATGGATCAGACTGATCCAAGCTCCTCAAGCCCACGTCCAAATGATCAAACCCACCGGATAACCTGCAAACAAGTTCAGCGGGAAACTGGGTAGTCTCCCAGTGAACCTTCCGACGAGCAAGTTAGGAAGACAAGTAGAGTGCAAAGGGAGAGATTAGAGATAGAAAAGCTTAACCTTCTTCTTGTCTTCAACGTTTGCTTATATCCTTTGGTAATCATTTCGCTGTCCCTTCCGACCTGCCCTCCTCGCCGAAAGTCTATGTTGTAACTTACCTTGTTCAGGGTAAGGGGTTCCTGTTCCGGCAGAGAGGTGTTGTCATAATAAATGCTGTGATGGGCTGCATTAATGGTGATGTGCAGTGGCAATAACTTTGCAGATCTTTGTCTGCTGATGTGGCTCGCCCTTCACCTGCCATGTGTCTGAATGTCATTGGCTCTTTATGCCATGTTGGATTTCAGCTTTTCTGGACCTCACCAGTTGGGTTATGTATTGGGCTCCAAGTGATGGGCTTGAGTTATTCATAGTGATTCATGGCCTTCATGGGCTTATACACGTCAGTAGTCCCCCATTCCCGAGTTCAGCTTTAGTCCAACGAAAGGAATACTAATGAAGAAGATGAGGGTGTTAGGGATTGGCAGGATGGAGGTCGACCGGCAGGGGTGACCGAGAGGGTGAACCGACCGGGAGGTGATCCGACCGTGCAGGGTGACCGAGTGGAAGGGCTGACCATGAGGAGGGCCGACCGCAAAGGTTGGTCGAGTGGAAAGATCGACCACGAGGAGGGCCGACCGCGGAGGTTGGCCGAGTGGGAGGGTCGACCACGATGAGGGCTGATCTCAAAGGGTGACCAAGTGGGAGGGTCGACCGCGAAGGGTGAAGTGGAGGGGCGTGGGGCTCGAGAGGCGGCGTGTCACGTGGTGATTTAAAGTGGAAAAAATAGGGTAAGGGGAGGAGCAAGTGGATCGTGGTCGTACACGTGACAACATCACGCGGGGGGAAAGAGATTAGGCTTTAGATCAGAAATGAAACGATAGGTCATTATAGGTGTTGAAAAGACAGTTTTGGCGGATGATTTGAAAAGTTTTCAAACTGGTGAAAATTAATTGGGATCCTTGGAATATGGGCAAACCGTAGACTTTTGGCATTATTCGATTCACCTACTTGTTTACGAAAAATCAAAATATTCCAAGTGTGAATTCCTTTGTTGCTCACGATACACCTCTGCAACACTTTTTCAATTTCCTTGCACCTGCATCCGAAGTGATTCGCAGACATACCATAGAAATAGCCCAAGAAGAAGCTGCGAATGTTAGGGTGGATCCACTTGGTGATGATGATGCAGTGGAGTTAGCACAGCAATATAGGATGGAGAGGGTGGGGGAGTCGGTGGTACAATCCCATGGTTCCACCATGATAGCAGCTCCAAAGCCAATCAGCCAGGCAGAACCAGATCACTGGCATACAAAAGCAGATAGATCAACGGTTACTGCAGCGGATTTGGAGGCTATTCGCGAAAATACTAGGTGCTAGCTGAAATAGAGTTATTGTTGCCGATGTCGACGGAGAGGCCATTCGACGCCAGGCCAGGAGAGTTTGCCCTTTATGAGGAAGCATTGAAAGGAGGACTGAGGCTACCCCTACCGCAAGTGGTGATACATGTCCTGAACCGTTTGGAGGTAGCGCCGGGCCAACTAATGCCCAATGCGTGGAAGATCTTACTGGCCTGTGCAAGTGCATGGCCGAAGGCGAACGAAAGGGCGGCCATGACAGCAGACGAATTCTTCGCATGTTACAAGGCCTCAGGGCAGTAAGAGACTTGGGTCACTCTACAGGCAGCAGCAGGGAAAGGGCTGGTGGCGGGGCTGCCGTCGTCGATCAAGGGGTGGAGACCACGGTGGTTCTATGTGTCTGCCAGTGAAGGGGTTGGAGTGCGTACCATTTGGAAAGTGTCCACCAAGTCTGTGGAGCCAAAGCTGGGAGTAGCAGTAGCAGAGGAGATGGTGAAGAGGGTAAAGGAATAGAGGGAAAAGGAAGGGGCCAGATGGGACGAGCTCGTTCAGCCGTCGGCTTTGTTTGAGGCAGGGTTGGGGCAGGGAAAGGGCTGGTGGCGGGGCTGCCGTCGTCGATCAAGGGTTGGAGACCACGGTGGTTCTATGTATCTTCCAGTGGAGGGGTTGGAGTGCGCACCATTTGGAAAGTGTCCACCAAGTCTGTGGAGCCAAAGCTGGGAGTAGCAGCAGCAGAGGAGATGGTGAAGAGGGTAAAGGAATGGAGGGAAAAGGAAGGGGCCAGATGGGACGAGCTCGTTCAGCCGTCGGCTTTGTTTGAGGCAGGGTTGGGTACACAGCCGAGTGGTAGGGACCTCGACCGAACGGAGTTGGAAGCAAGAAGAAAGACTCAAGAGGCGGAGGACCAGACCATCTTGGCCAAAACCCAAAAATTCAAAGAGTCGCAGGCAGATCGACCGCCAAAGCCGGTTGTGAGGGAGAGGATCCGACCTCGCCTCAAACCCTTGGGAAAAAAAGAATTAAGTGAATTTGTGCCACGACCGCCCCCAACAGATCCCTTGAAGGAGAGGGCTTTGAAGGAGATGGAGGTGGGGGGCGTAATGAAGAAGAAGAGGAGAGTGAGGAGAAGTGAAGAAGAGCCTACCTTGAAGAGAATGAGGGAAGTAAGGGCAGAAGAGACCAGTGTGGCCAAGGAGGCAGAGAGGGAGGGAGTGGAGGAGACCCTAGGAAGGGTGGTCGTCCCAGAATTGGTGGACATCGCGTCGGAGGGGATGGAGGTCGTCCCAGCAGTGGTGGGGATCGCCACAGAGGTAACGAGGGCCGCCCCCGAAGTGCAAGTAGAAGGTGGGGCAACTGGCTCTGAGCCAAGGATGAGAGAATAGCCCCAGGGGGGTCCTGCACCCCAAAGAAGGGGAGTCAGTCTGACTACTGCGATCTACCACGCTCGTGCAGTGGCTGGGCGGCTAGAGGGAGAAGAAGGCCCAACCAGGGCAGGGGCAGACCGCCTTATGGGGATTGTGGAAGAGGCAGCCTTGCGCTCAGCAGCCAGATTCAATGAGGCTGAGCTGCTGAGGGGGTTATGCTCCGCTCAAATTGAGGTAACCACCTTAGTAGGGGCTCTGCTGAGAAAGGCGGGGGCTGCAAAACTCAAGGCAGATGAGGCCAAGGCTCAACTTGCAAGGTTGAAGAAGGAGAGTGTAAACTGGGAGAGTGCCCATGCTGAGCTGCGAGCGGTCAAGTTGGAGCCGGAGAACGAACGCCGCCAGGTTGTGTCGCTCGAGTTCCACCAGGCTGGCAAGCAGAGGAAGCTGGAGGAGGCCCAAAAAGCCTGCGCGGTCGCGCTCGAACAGCATGAAGAGGCGATGACCAGTAATGAAGAGCTGGTTAAACAAAAGGATGAGGCAGACGTGAAGATTGACGGTCTGCAGAGGGAGTTGGAGGGAGAGCACACGAAGGCAATGGAGGAGAGGGACGGCCTACAAAAGGAGTTGGAGAAGGAGAGGGCCAAGGCATCTGCTGAGAGGGCGAACGTGCTGAGAGAGTTGGCTGAAAAGAGGGCCAAGGCAGCCTCTGAAATGGCGACCCTACAGAAGTAGTTGGAGGAAGAGAGGGCTAAGGCGGCCTCTGAAAAGGCGACCCTGCAAAAGGATCTGGACAAAGAGAGGGCCAAGGCAGCCTCTGAAAGGGCGGCATACCCCGATCTATGCATTGCAGCAGTGGATCAGTTCAAGGGGTCTACTGAATTTCAGATGGCAGTTGATGCCGCCATCGCCAGCAGCTTGGCGAGGGAGGAGTCTGGGGGGGCGAGCCCATCGAGGACGACCGCTGGGGGCAGGACTGAGTCGGAAGTGATTGAGAGCTTCCGGCGGTCAGACTTTTAAAAACACGAAATGGCTGAGTTCTGGGACAGTGGTTGGAAGATGTTCAAGAGTAAAGCTGAGGAGCTGTTCCCAAACTTGGACCTGAGTAGTGTGAAAATCGACGACGACGATGTGGCCCAGACCAGACCCCCCTGGATGAGGGTATTGAAGAAGAAGACCTTGTGTCCAGCGAAGATGAGTAATTGAAGAAGAAGAAGAAGACCTTGCACAGACATTGTGTGGTTATTTTTGTTTTGTTTTGTTTGTGTTTTTTTTTTTTGAATTGCTGTAATGAACTTATGTACAAAGTTGTGAATAAATAAAATTTCAGTTGTGTTTTGCATTTGATTGTTTTTGCTTGTGCATCTGAAATGGATGAGAATGGTGGCTTGTGTGTGGAGCTTGTGTATGAATCATTGTGAAATGTAGAGTAGAGTTAGACTTGTAATAAAAACTGAATTTAGGAATTCCTCAAGACAGAGTGGGATTGAAGTTGTAATAAAAACTCAATGCAGAGTAAAGTTAGGAACTCCTCAATGCAAAGTGAAATTGAAGTTGTAATAAAAACTCAATGCAGAGTAAAGTTAGGAACTCCTCAATGCAAAGTGAAATTGAAGTTGTAATAAAAACTCAATGCAGAGTAAAGTTAGGAACTCCTCAATGCAAAGTGAAATTGAAGTTGTAATAAAAACTCAATGCAGAGTAAAGTTAGGAACTCCTCAATGCAAAGTGAAATTGAAGTTGTAATAAAAACTCAATGCAGAGTAAAGTTAGGAACTCCTCAATGCAAAGTGAAATTGAAGTTGTAATAAAAACTCAATGCAGAGTAAAGTTAGGAACTCCTCAATGCAAAGTGAAATTGAAGTTGTAATAAAAACTCAATGCAGAGTAAAGTTAGGAACTCCTCAATGCAAAGTGAACATGGGTGGCCTTGACCGAGCCCTGCATGCGTGCTCAGTTGGGGCTAAGCTATGATTCACTGACGTTGTAAGTAACTCAGTCTGAACCTGAAATTGTGGCATTCAGTCTTGGCGGAGACTTGTTATGCTTAGGCTGGCTGAGGTTTGGTCTGGCCGAGTGCTTCATGCTCAATCGGGCTGAGACTTTTTGGCACTCTTCTGGACGAGGCTGTTGGTGCTCAATCTAGCTAAGGCTTGTGGTGCTCAGACTGGTTGAAGCTTTTTGGTGCTGAGTCTGGCTGAGGCTTGTTGTGCTGAGTCTGGCTGAGACTTCTGGTGTTCAGTCTGGCTGAGGCTTGCTGTGCTCAGTCTGACTGAGGCTTGTTGTACTCAGTCTGGCTGAGGCTTTTAGTGCTCAGTCTAGCTGAGGCTTCTGGTGCTCAGTCTGGCTGAGGCTGTTAATAAATACTGCTAATGAAAATGTTATTGAGACAACACATAGATAGCTAAGATATAAAATTGTTGTCATGGACAGTGTAGTCCAGTCGATCAAAGTTTACATTATACATCAAAAAGAAAATACAACAACTGAGCAATACAACAATAGGAATTTATTGAAAGTAGCGCTTCAAGTGTTCAGTGTTCCAGGGGTGGGGAAGGTCTCGACCTTCCATGTCCTGAAGTCGGTAGATGCCCGGACGTGGTCGGGCTTGCACAACATAAGGTCCCTCCCATTTGGCTGCTAGTTTACCCTCAGTCGGATTTTTGGTGGCAAGAGTTGCTTCTCTCAAGACAAGGTCCCCTATAGCGAACTCCCTTGGTCGGACTTTGCGGTTGTAGTGTGTTCTCATCTTCTGTTGGTATGAGGCCAGTCTGACAGCAGTGGTCTCTCTGAGTTCTTCAATTAGATCCAAGTCTGCCCGACGGAGCCCTTCCGTTAGTGCTAGATCCAGATGTAAAACCCTAGGAGTAGGCAGACCGACTTCCACCGGAATAACCGCCTCAGCGCCGTATGTTAAGCGGAAATGGGTTTCTCTAGTGGGAGTCCGAGCTGTAGTTCGGTAAGCCCAGAGTACATTTGGTAGTTCCTCAGCCCAAAGTCCCTTAGTAGCTTCTAGCTTGGTTTTGACGATCTTCAGAAGAGAACGGTTAGTGACCTCAACTTGGCCATTAGCTTGGGGATGACCGGGGGAAGAGAAACATGGTTGAATCTGGAGGTCTGCACAGAACTTCCTGTACTTGGCGTTGTCGAATTGTTTGTCGTTGTCGGAGACGATGGCTTGGGGGATGCCAAACCTGCAAACGATCGACTGCCAGATGAACTTGGTTTAGCTTGGTTTTGACGATCTTCAGAAGAGAACGGTTAGTGACCTCAACTTGGCCATTAGCTTGGGGATGACCGGGGGAAGAGAAACATGGTTGAATCTGGAGGTCTGCACAGAACTTCCTGTACTTGGCGTTGTCGAATTGTTTGCCGTTGTCGGAAACGATGGCTTGGAGGATGCCAAACCTGCAAATGATCGACTGCCAGATGAACTTGGTTGTTTTCCGCTCGGTAATGGTGGCAAGGGGTTCTGCCTCTACCCACTTAGTGAAATAATCAATGGCAACAATGGAAAATTTGGTCTGGCCTCAGCCGGTGGGTAAAGGACCAACTAGGTCGATCCCCCATTTGGCGAACGGGTACGGGCTGCAAAGTGTGATCAATTCAGTAGGAGGAGCATGGGGGATGTTGGCAAAACACTAACACTTATCACATTTGATCACGAAGTCAGTCACATCTTGGTTGAGAGTAGGCCAGAAATATCCAGTGCGAAGTATCTTGTGGGCCAGGGACTTGCCGCCTGAGTGATTGTCGCAGATACCCTCATGAATTTCTTGCATCACATAGGTTGCTTAAGCCGAATTAAGGCACCGCAGATAGGGGCGTGAGAAACTACATTTGTACAAAATGCCATTGACGAGGATGTAATTGGACGACCGGGCCCTGACTTTGGCGGCTTGCTGTTGGTCGTCTGGAAGTTCCCCCGTTATTAGAAATAGCAAGATGTCCGACGCCCAAGAGATGGGTTCATTTTGGAGGAATTGTATTTCGTGCTGGTCGGGGGAAATGGCGGGATGGGTTAGGTATTCGAGGCGGACACCACGGCTGAGGTCGGACTGGTCTGCGGAAGCCAACTGAGCCATCTCATCTGCCTTAGAGTTTTCCGCCCGAGGAATGTGCTTGATGTAGAAGGTATTGTAAAGGCGAACAAGGGGAAGTGCAATGTCCTTGTAAGCCCGCATTGTGTCCTCCTTGGCATCGAATTCTCCCATGATTTGTCCGACGATGAGTTGGAAGTCGCTGAACACTCGGATGTGGCTGACACCAATATCCCTAGCTAGGCAAAGACCTGCTATCAATGCCTCGTATTCGACCTCATTTTTACTGGCCTCAAACAAGAAACGGAGAGCACATTTGAAATAACCATCCTCAGGGGCGGTGAGGATGAGGTCAGCCCCACTACTTTCCCTGTGGGATGATCCATTGACGTTGAGAGTCCAAGAATGAGGGTCTTCTGGCTCGATGGGAGCTGGTGGGGGTGGAGAGGCAGTGGTTGGGGTAGGATTAGTGAATTCCAGGATGAAATCGGCGATAGCCTGTCCCTTAATTGCTGTTCGAGGCCGGTAAGAGATGTCAAACTAGCTGAGTTCCACTGAACACATAAGTCTGCCGGACAGTTTTGGTTGCTGCATGACCTTCTTCAAGGGTTGGTCAGTGAGGACCACTGTGGAGTGGGCTTGGAAGTAAGGACGGAGTCGTCTGGAGGCGGTGACCAAGGCCAAAGACAATTTTTCTAACAGTGGGTAGTTATGCTCCGCTTCCCTGAGCGCCTGACTAATGTAGTAGACCGGTCGTTGGACAGAGCTGTCTTTCCTAATAAGAGCTGCACTGATAGCGATGCTTGATACGGCTAAATAGAGGAAGAGGGGCTCGCCCGTAATTGCCTGTGAAAGGAGGGGGGGTTGGCCATGCACTGCTTCAACTGTTGAAAAGCCTCTTCGGATTCAGCCGTCCATTCAAAAGTTTGCCGAAGAACTTTGAAGAATGGTAGGCACTTATCCGTTGCGCGGGAAATGAAGCGATTGAGGGCTGCAACTCGGCCAGTGAGTCTTTGAACCTCCTTAACTGTTCTGGGTGACTGCATCTCGATCAAGGCCTTGATCTTTTCAGGGTTAGCTTCAATGCCCCGCTGACTGACCATAAAACCCAAAAACTTCCCAGATCCTACGCCGAAGGCGTACTTCTCTGGGTTGAGCTTCATTTGGTACTTGCGTAGGGTGGCGAAGGTCTCTCGCAGGTCGATCAGATGATCAGTGGAGAGTTTGCTCTTGACTAGCATGTCGTAGACATATACTTCCATATTCCGACCTATCTGGTGACGAAAAACAGCATTAACCAATCGTTAGTAGGTGGCCCTAGCGTTCTTCAATCCGAATGGCATCACACGGTAGTGGTAGGTACCTCGGTCGGTAATGAAGGATGTATGTTCTCGATCGGACGGGTGCATCAGGATTTGGTTGTAACCAGAGAAAGCATCCATGACGCTGAGCATTTGATGACCGGCCGTGGCGTCGACCAACAGATCTATGCGGGGAAGAGGATAGCTGTCTTTGGGGCAAGCTCGGTTCAGGTTAGAGTAATAGACACAGAGTCACCATTTGCCATTGTTCTTGTGGACTAGGACCACGTTTGACAACCATTTAGGGTAGTCTACGTTTTTTATGAATTGGGCCTCAAGGAGCTTGTCAACCTCTGTGGCTATAAGAGTATTGCGCTCTGGATGAAAGATGCAC